AGATTCAGGTAGTTTTGTCAATGCTCAAGAACCAGAATCAAGAAATGCCCACAAAAACCGAGAGCCGTATCTCTGAAATAACTTTTCTGGCTCTGCTACAGCCTGATTTGCTCAAGTCTCGTAGGCTGATTCGTGTAGCAACTAGAACTGACATTTTTTCAGGGACTTTTTCGTCAATTTTGTATTTGTCTGTGCCCCACTCTACTCGCACATGTTCTTAAACGTAAAAAAATAGAAACTAGTCTTATCGTGAGAGCAAACCAAGCGATGAACATCAAAAGGGATTGTGAAGACTGTGTGGGATTTCAAGGCTTTAAACGACTCGGCAACAATCAGAAAACGTTGCGATCAGATGGAAGGGCGCGGGTTTGTGGGCAGTATCTTCCGTTTGGCCTGTAATGGGATGATTCACGTACCTGTGACGATGGTATCGAACCGCTCCTGGGTGCTCGGATGGACATGAACACCGATGCCGTCGGAATCGACAAAGACGTAGAAGCTGAAATTTGGGAACATCTGGCATTGCACAGACTTTTCTGCGTTCAGTAGCTCTTCAATAATTTGTAATTAGTTGCTACTGTGCAAATCATATTACTACAAAATAAATGTTTTTTGCTTAATTGTGTCCTTGTCCACGTTGAAACATCTATTCGGGTCTGCCCATAAGTAATGGCACTTTTTTTCTCACTCAAAATATCGTGCTAACGATGAAAAGTTTGGCCACTGAATTTTGTATTGTTCTGTAGAGAATTCCTAGCCGTATATGGGAGTCCTGTTATGGTTAGTTTTTTTTAAAGTTTCTCTTTCCACATAATATTTAAGTGCTCAAACTGGAGTGTCAGGTCGACGAAATTGAGCATTTTCGACAGCCTCTTTTTTATACCTCTAATTAAAAAGCTAAAACCGCACAGGCCCAGTTGCTAAGTATATGGCCAAGAGGGTATGTCTCTTAGGAACTGAGCTCAACGATTTGAGTTATTCGAAGATTTCCATTTCCACACAGACAAGCATCGGATCTAATGCCCTATTGAGTCCAGCTGAGAGCTTGCTGAATTACTTTATTCACGGAGATGCTAAAGAGTGAGGAATCGTCAGAGGTCATGGAATGCGTCCTGACCATTATCAAGCATCACCCTC